TTTTTTTTTTTTTTTTTTTTTTTTTTTTTTCGGGCGCTGGGGCTGCCTGGAATGCCCGGCCGGGCACCCGGGCATGTACCCGGGGCATAAGTTGGGTGCCCGGGCGCCCAGAAAAAACAGCCTGGCCATTTCTCAATTTATGCGTGCCATCCGTGCGCAGGGGCCATGCTAATCTTCTCTGTATCGCTCCAATCTTAACGGATGTCTGGAAGGGCACATCCACTCTTATTCCTGCCATTCGACATCCTCAAGCTTTAGGCAAACTCACAACAAATACTAGATCCTGGTGAAAGAGTCAACCCACCCATTCAGTGCATTGGACCCAACGGCAGTGTGGTCGATCCCTGCACCCACAGCGGTGCAATCAAACACCTGCAGCCATCAGGTCATCAATCCTATGAACCACCTGAAAAGGGCGCGCCTCGTGGAAACCAGCGCAGTTGTCAAATGTAGCAGTGATGCGCAGGGCACTGCAGGCTCAACACTGCCAAACGCGGTATAAACAAGTTGTCCACGGACGACCTGCTTCACGTCTTTGTCTTCACAACTTCACATTCTTCTGAGTTTGTCCATGGATGACTTGCTCCAAATGTTCACAACTTCACACATGTTTCACACTTGTTTTGTGGAAACTTCACGCATGTTTCACACTTGTTTCGTGGAAACTACACACATCCACACATATTTCTCCGGAACACTCGTGCAGTTCTGGACAACAACACATGAAGCAGGTCATCTGTGCCTGGGCGTATCCGTGATCAAGAAGGCGGATGGCCTAGGTTGCGGGGTCTCCCATTGCACCTTCGGGACTCGCCTGGCCTAGTCACACCCACGGCGGTGTTACTACGGCATTATTTCTGAACCCACACATCAAACGGGTTTAGACTTCACAATTTAGACTTTAAAGTTGGAAAACCACCACTACATTTACTACATTTGCCGACTGCACTGCTTTACCACAAGGCGCACCCTTTTCAGTTGGCTCATTGGATAGATGACCTGATGGCCACAGGTGTTTTTCACTGTCTGCAGGAGTCACCCCAATTTTTCAGGAGGCAGAGGTGGTGTGGTTGCATCACGCAGCAACCGCACTGCTGTTGTGCGCATGCACCACATTGGTGGGCCGGCTTCTCTCCCAGGGTCTTCACAGCAAATGGCGTAACCTGAAAACTGGGTTTTCCATTAGGAATAGTCGGGAACAAAGTCTGACAACATCCACATAACAAATGTAACGTTGTAATCCTGTCATCAAGCATAGATAAACCACTTCTTCTGGTGAACATAACCAACGGTACGCCATGAGTTGATCTGATATTTGATTGAATGAATAACAGCGAGTTTGCAACTTTGAGAAAAACAAACCCACACACACACACACAAAAAAAAAGAATGAAGTACAAGTTGTACAACTCACCAGGTGCAGACAGAGGAAGGATCGACCGACTGAGACCTCTTTCTCGATTCTATGAGTGGTGGCGCACGGCCGTTCTTAGTTGGTGGATTGATTTGTCTAAAATTCTATGGGTGGTGGTATATGGCCTTTCTTTTTTTTCCCCCTTCTTAGTTGGTGGAGTGATTCGTCTGGGAAAAACAAAAAACAAAATCAGAGTACTACAAACGAACAAGTCAGTCATAAACAAGCAAGCCTAAGAAGAATACCTATCAGCTGAGACGAGAAATTGAGACTCTTTAGTCAAAAGAAGAATGTAAACCAACCTGCTACATTCCTCATATTCTGGTCCTGGGAACCCATGATGTTCTGCCCGTTGATGTCCATTAGCATGAATTGTTGTCCGGGATTCATTCGCATCTGTCGCATCCTCTCTCCTTTCATGCCCGCCAGTTCTGCAGTTGCTGGTTCGGCTGTCAGTAGGTTGCAAGCTTCTGACGCTGTCAAAACGGCTCTCGTGCTTTTTGTCATCTATGCCATCGGCAACCTGAAATTCATTCCCACAACACCCCATGGCCCGTTGATGATCCTCATCGCAATCGGCCTCATGCCTCTTACTACTTTCCTCGTGATCGTTGAGCCATTGAGCTTCATCCAGCTGGCTGTGTGCCACAGTTTCTCCATGTTCTTCATTATGCTGTGTCCTCTGCAGCAGCCCCCCCCCAAAAAAAAAAGGTGTTAGGAATGAACAGCTTGTTGGTGACATGGCTGGTAGGGACTGTTAAGCAGGGCAGAGTACATGCTGTCAACAAGTCAGTAAGGAAAGAACAATAAGGCTCTCTGGATTAACCCCTCCCTTCTGCTTTGTCAGGGGCTAGACCAGGGGGCAGCGGAGCATTTCAGGGATTTCGACGTACTGGAGATGAAAGAGGTTGGCGAGGGGAAAGGGTGGGGGAGGGGTGGAGTAGCGGGGAGTGGAAGGGGGGGGCAGCGGAGCAAGGAAAGGAGGTGGCAGCTAATGGAAGTGGTTCTGCTAACCACCTTTTGCTGGAAATTCTCATATTAATTTGATTTATGATTTATCCGATTTTATTGTCTATATTGTATCAAGGACACCTGTCCTTTCTCACGTCACTTAAATTTGGATTAGCACGCCCCCCCCTGTGCAGGGATGAAACTCGTAAATCAACAATTACAAATTTAGAGTAATTAGAAGATGTATTGCACGCCAATGGGCCTAGCTCAGTTGGTACACCCACAAACTGTTGAAATACAGACCAAAGTTCGAATCCAGATACAATCGGATAACCAGAATCACCTCTCCTAGGAAGGAGCCTGCTTTTCAAAAAAAAAGAAAAAAGAAACGAAGTTCTGAAATATCTGGGACCGGTCAGTTCAATGATGATATCTCAAGGCCGTAAGGTGAAAAAAAAAAAAAAAAGGATGTATTGCAGCGTGAGGCATCGCCAACGCGCCGTCGGTTAGCGCGACCAGGTAACGCAGCGCTATTTTGTGCTAGCACCCGCTGCCTCGACCCACAGGAAAGCTCTGCCCAGGCGATTCCACACGGCCACTTTCCCACCCATGCCAGTTCTGGCCCGGCTGCCCTGTTTTGAACTTTAAGACAGGGCTGCAAGTGACGTCATCGCCATGTAGCCGCCCTCTGTGCTCTGCGCGCGTGCCCACCTCTCACGTCCATCGAAGGAGACAGGTTGTTCCGTTGGAGTGAACCCACCCGTTAGCAGCAACGACGAAGCTGTACCAGGAGTTGTCACCTTTCCCTCCCGAAGTCGCCCTCGCGCACAAACAGCCACTCGAAGACTCACGAGCCTCAGCTCCTCACCAATCAAGGAGTGGCTCCACGATCGAGATCCAGTGGTGAGACCTCTTCAAGGTTCCATTGCCACGAGCAAACGACAGTCAGTCAATCATTTAGGCCCCTAGCTGCACGCACACAGCTATGGTGGAGCGGACCAGGGCGGAGGAGGAGGAAGAAGGTAGTCTAGGGGGAGATGGTGGGGGTACTTACCTGGCTATGGTGGACGGCATCTTCATCTTCTTGGCTGACGCTGCACCTGGAAGGCCCAGTGGGGGCGCGCTGCATCAAGGAAATCTTCAGGGAAGAGTTAGGTATGGCGGCCTTAGTAGAGGAGACGTATCAGCTTTGCATTGTGCTTTGAACACCGGAGCAGGGCTCGGCTAATCCGCCATAGCCAAGCCGGAGGTAGAGGAAGGTGTAGGTCATGGCTATGGTGGACCTCATGTGTTGCTGGCAGTAAGGAGGAGATTCGGACATTGGTTCTGGTTCATTCTTTCATTGTTATTATTATTGTTTTTTGTATTGAAGAGATTGGGGCGGATAAGGAGGTTGAAGGTGATGGCGAGTCGGAGGGGGATTTGACATTGGTCTTTGCTGGTGTTCATCTTCTTCTTCTTCTCCCATTCTTTATTCTTCTCCTTCCTTTGTCTATTTCTCTTTCCAAGTTCTTTCATTTCAGTTGCAATGGAATGACATTGTTTCTTTGTGTAATTGTACTTCAAGATAGCCAGGATCATAACAATACATGGAAAAAGGGAAAGAAAGGAAAATCCAAGCGTAGCAACCAAGAATGATCCTCCTCACCCCTTGTCACCTCTCACCCCTTCCCCACCCACTTCACCCTTTGACACGAGCAGTAGCTCTCGCTGACAACCCCGTATCACAACCTCCCCTTCGGCCACCCTCTCCCTCTCCATTTCGCAATCCTTCCCAGACATTCATCCATACCTTCCAACACAATAGTCACCCGCGTTATTTAAGACCTCAATCGAATCTATTAGAAGAGATCAGCGTTAGCACGACAAGGTAGGAAAAAGGGGGAAAAAAGAAGGAAAAATAAACGAAAACACAAGAACCCGCAACACTGTTATGTGTTCGATTGATTCACAACTCAAACCCGCATTCAAATGTTCCCATACACATCTGCAATGACAGGCAAAATGGAGAGAGCAGATTCACACCATAGCCATGGAGAGATATTGCACAGTGGAAGCCAAAGCCAGATATAAAAATTGAGAGAAAAATGTATCAATCACTTATTTATTACACCCCCTGCTCTCCTCCTGTCAACTGAACAACTCCAAGAATCTCAACCACGAAATCTGTTCCACCTCCAATTAACCCCCGACAATACACTTCAATGAAGCTTCACTGAAACTTCCTCTTCTCCCTACGACCCCCAGCCTCCAATGATAGCCCACTGTTGAAAACAGCATCTCATCATGCCCCGAGCCCGTGAGTACAGGCGCTGATCTGGCATGAGCCAGATATCAAGTTGCAGCGCCGCAAACCACCATGAAGAAGAAGGCGAACCTCGATGAAGAAGATGATGGCTGCCCTGGTATGGCAGCAACCAGCAATAAGCCGCTTGATGAACAGCGGCGTCCTTCAACCCCCACAAATAGCAGCGTGATGGGAGTGGCATCAGCACCTGGAAGACCTCCTACCGGTGCTGCCTCCTCAAGCAGCAGGGTGCCCCAGCTATGGCTGCCCAAGTTCCCCTTCGAAGAGGAAGAAGACTGAGCGCTGAAATAGTGCCGCTCACGTACTCCCGTCACCACTACCAAAAAAATGAGAAAAGAACCCCAAACTTCTCGGCCTCTCCCTACTTCTACCCGACTTCCCTACATAGCAGTCACCTACGAACCTATCCGACCGTCGAAACAGCAAACATCTACGGCCAAACGGTCAAGATCTGCCTACATGCATCTGGATGGAAATCTAGACTACGGGGACCCAAGTCTAGGACACACAAGCGAGAGACCTACGGGCCTACCAGTTTCCAGAAGAGCAGAAAAGGACAAACCAGCAAGACCTGAATGGTCTAAGACTGCCAAATAGACTACCAGCGATAGGTTCACGGATCAAGCCCAGCAGGACTCAAAGCTAGTAATCAACACATACAAACTGTAGGTCACGGGATGAAGTCCCGAAGGGCTCAGAATAGGCAAACAGTTGACAAACTTAGTATACAGCCCGCGTGAGCAACTGCAATTCATTGCAATACAAACCTGTGACAACCGACAATTAGCTTAGTGTCTTGCAATAGTAATATGAGAAGAAGAGGAACGAGGATGTACCTTCCACCATCCCACGCCCCACAGCCCACACCTTTCCAGTGTTTCCACATATCCCCCCTCCCTCTCCCCCCCCCCGGTTCCTCTATCCTCCAGTTCATCATGGCGATGACATTTCTAGCGGCCAAGCTACAATCCACTGGAACGAACACAGAAAAGAAACAGGAGACGACAGTTGATCATCAAACACTTGGGATTCCTGCGGAAATCTACAAAAATAAAAGAGGGAAAAGTCACCAAGAAAATAAAAAAGACGGGGTAGAAGAAGTGACAGCATGGAGTTATCCCAAAGAAAAGCTTGCCGCCACAAATGGATTGTACGGAAAACATGCAGTAGTTTGAAACCACCAGTACTTGGCCCATACATCGGCCGCGGCGCTTCCTCGTTCATGAGCCGTGCCTTTAGGGCTTCGGGGTACCGGACCACAATGGCTGGAAGCGCCAGCCTAAAACGAAACGAAAAGTCATACTGGCGGTTCATACGAACTCGGCGTGCAGAGTGCTCCGAGGCCCGGCATCGATAGCTGGGCCAAGTACTGGTGGCTTAACCTTGTCCAATGCAGGCGCTCGTCTTCCCACCATTGGAAAGAAGGAAGTGGCTAGTTAAAATAGTCCAAGATCATGAGAACATCAAAACAGAGGTTGGTCAGTTCTCACTGAATTTTCGGCATTCGGAGGGTTCGACATAGAAGCAGGATAGTGACATGATAGGGTTCTCTGACTTGTCAGTAGGAGAGGGAGGGTATTTCTGGCCTCCGATCGAGGTTGGTCTAAAGGGTTGAAGGCCCATTTTCCAGACACTCAATTTTGCCTGCCCATGGACTGCCGAATACTTGTGGGGGTCAAGCCTAGCGGTGGAAGCCATATGTGTCGCATTTGTGCCAGAATTTCTCTGACCACCAAATTATTCCCCCCCCCTCCTCTAACATTTTCCCCTCAAACAGCAGCAGCATGTGCCCTGCATCCATGAACTTTTTCATTTGTTGAAGGAGATCAGAGTAAAACGTCACCACAGTAGGGACACCCAACATTTGTGCCCCCTCCTCTGGGGCCAACCCACTCCTATCTGACCGCCATGCTGCGAATAGGGGTGTACTGGTGGTTCAGTGGATCAGGGTCTCCCAGCCTTAATGGGAGATGGGAGAAGCGGGTGAGTCTCAGGTTGTATTCATTTTTGCGGCTTGCCAGTGGAGTAGGAACCAGACTGATGCTCCACAGAACAGAAGGGAGCCATCACCAGAAGGCAGAGATGAGCCTTTTTTTTTTTTTGAATTGGCACTTCACCCAACCCGCCCACATTCTTTTAAGTACAGCCCGACCTCAAAAAAAAAAAAAAAAAAAAAAAAAATCTCAAGGTGACCCAACCCCCACGACGAGCGACTGCAGATAAGCTGGGAAAACGATAAGGGAGACACCCAGTTTGCTGATATGAGACCCTTCACGGCCATCTACGAGAAGGCAGTGGAACTGAGGGGAGACCAGGAATGGAAGCCTTGGGAACTGATCTGCAAGATCCCATTCCAGCTCCTGGGACCAAAGGAAGGGGTGGACAGAATCGCACTCAGCATGGCCGCCCTCCTGCGAGAGGAA